CGGTCCAGGTTGAGCACCCACAGCCCCACGCCGCCCCCGAAGCCGTGCACCAGGACCAGGGGGGTGCGGCCCCCACCCTGCTCCGGGCACAGCGAGACGGTCCAGATGCGCGCCCAGCCCGGCAGGGTCACGTACCGCCCCACGAACCGGCTCTGCAGGCCTGCACGGAGAGGGGGAGTCAGGGGGGCCCTGAGCCAGCCCCCATAGGGGGTGTCCCCGTGCCCAGCCTGGCCGCCAGGCCCTGACCCATCGCCCCCACAGCCCAGCCCCCCCATAGGTGGTGTATCCCCCTGCCCGGACCCCAGCCCGGCCGCCAGGCCCTGACCCAGCCCCTCACACACCTCTCCTTGGCCCCTGGGTCCCCTAGTGCCCCCCATGAGGGATACACTCCCGAGACTCCTACCCAAGCCCCTGGATCAGCTAGCACACCTATAGGGGGTACTTAACCCCCTGGGTCTCCCAGACCCCCCCCAGAGGGGGTCCTGGGCCCCCTTCCCTGATACACTCCACCCAGCCCCCCATCCACCCAGGCCCCCCAACTGTGACTATGGGGGGCTCTGACCCAGCCCCCATAGGGGGATTACCCCATGGCCTCCTTACTCAACTGCTGATGTTTGCCCCCAGCCACCCCCCCAAAGGAAATACACCCCCAAGCCCTACCCAGCCCCCTGCCCACAGGCACCCCCCTCCCCCCATGGATCACAGGAGAGAGGTCCCCCATGAAGGATACACCCCAGGCTGTGTCCCCCGCCAATTTCACTACTCACACTGCAGGATCCGGGCCTCCACTTTCTTCAGGTGGGACATGGACGTGGGGCGCCAGGCAGGGAGCCAGCCGCTGAGCCAACCCTGGGGCCTGAGCCGGGGGGTGGACATACAGCCCCACAGACAGACAGTGCGGGGGGCCGGAGGGCAGACAGAACAGGGGAGCAATGCGGGAGGGGGAACACATTAATGACCCATTGGGGTCTGGCTCCAAATGAGGGCATCAACTGACCCGCCCCCACATAGAGGGACCCAGGTATCTTCCCCACCCCCCAGGCTGGGGGAGCATCTCACCGTCCTGGGGGGCAGAGGTTCCCCATCACCCACTTTGCCTCTCTCACTGGGTCCCAGCTGCCCCTCACGGGGTCCCAGAGCTCCTCTCACAGGGTCCCACTGCCCCCTGGTGTGTCCCCCCGCCCATCACCCAGGGGCTTTTCAGGGGTTGCTGCCCCATGGCTAGGGGCAAGGAGCTCTGGGGCAGGGATAGTGCTGAGTCACTCCCCAGGGGAGCAGGTGCTGGCTGCCTCTCCCGGCGGGGGTGGGGACACACACCCAGGGGACTCTCCCCCCCCGCCGCACACAGGGGCACAGGGACACCGGGATTCAGCTGTTTGCCCCCCCAGACAACCTGACAGAATGTGTCAACCCCCTTTCCCTCCTTCCTGCCCCAGATAACCTCCTCCTGCTGCCCCCCTCTGGACCCACCTCCCAACAGTCCCCTCCCCCTTCACTCCATATAACCACCCCCCCCCGCCAAAAGTCCCCTACCCCAATGACTCCTCCTCCCTCCCCTTCTCCCCAAATAATTATCTTCTTCCTGCCCCCCCACCAGCCCCCTCCCCCAAGGATCACTCTCCTCTCTCCCCCATCGCCAAACAATCCCCTGCCCTCCAATAACCCCCTCCATTCTTCCCCCCAAATCCCCCCACCCGCTCCCCAATAACCCCCTCCCTCTGCCCCCAAGAGCCTGCCGTCCTTCCCCTCCTCTGCCCAGTCCCGCAATAGCCCCCCCTCACTCCCTCCAGCTCCTCTCCTGCCTTTGCCAGACCCCTCTCCGCCCTCACAACCCTTCCCCCCCGGCCCTGCAGCTTCTCAGCCCCCCAGGTCCAGCTCCCCAGCCCTGGGCATGCCGCAGGGGGGCTCCCCCCCAAAGACGCAGCGCTGCCAAGTCCTCGGGGCGCTTAGGGGCCATGGGAACAGGGCCCCCGCCCCGCAAAGGGACCCCAGCGACCCCCCACAAGCGGGGGGGGGTAGCGCAGACTCACGGGTCTTCCAGATCCTCCGCCATACCCGGCGCCCAGCTGAGCTCATCGCAGCTGAGCAGGGCGCGGAGTCCGGGGGCGGGGCTAGCTCGGCGGGGGCGGGGCTTCGGCGGGATGAATGGGGGCTGGCGGGATCCGGGGTCGGTCAGCGGGGGCGGGGCCGAGCCCCCGGGGCGGGGCTAGCACGGCGGGGGCGGGGCTTCGGCGGGATGAATGGGGGCTGGTGGGATCCGGGTTCGGTCAGCGGGGCGGGGCCGAGCCCCGGGGGCGGGGCCTGATGCTGGGCCGGGGAAGGAGTGGGGTGTAAAGGCGGGGTGATGTCGAATGGGCCGTGGACACTGGTTGCCCTTAGGGTGCAGCCAGCAGTAGCGGGGGGCCTGGCTTTGCCCCGGGGTGGACACAGGGTTGGGGAGATCGGATCGTAAAGTGATCTGCCCTGGGGCCGAAGGGCTCTATGGAGGGGGATGGGGGGCAATGCAACAAGGAAGAAATGGGGGGGCACGTGGGTTACAAGGGGGGGCTCGGAAGGGGGCTGGTTTGGTGGGGGGCACGTGGGTTACAAGGGGGGGGCTCGGAAGGGGGTGGTTGGGTGGGGGGCAGGTGGGTTACAAGGGGGGCTCGGAAGGGGGCTGGTTTGGTGGGGGGCACGTGGGTTACAAGGGGGGCTCGGAAGGGGGCTGGTTTAGTGGGGGGCACATGGGTTACAAGGGGGGGCTCGGAAGGGGGCTGGTTGGGTGGGGGCACGTGGGTTACAAGGGGGGCTCGGAAGGGGGTGGTTGGGTGGGGGGCAGGTGGGTTACAAGGGGGCTCGGAAGGGGGCTGGTTGGGTGGGGGGCACGTGGGTTACAAGGGGGGGCTCGGAAGGGGGCTGGTTGGGTGGGGGGCACGTGGGTTACAAGGGGGGCTCGGAAGGGGGTGGTTGGGTGGGGGGCAGGTGGGTTACAAGGGGGGCTCGGAAGGGGGCTGGTTGGGTGGGGGGCACGTGGGTTACAAGGGGGGCTCGGAAGGGGGCTGGTTGGGTGGGGGGCACGTGGGTTACAAGGGGGGCTCGGAAGGGGGTGGTTGGGTGGGGGGCAGGTGGGTTACAAGGGGGCTCGGAAGGGGGCTGGTTGGGTGGGGGGCACGTGGGTTACAAGGGGGGGCTCGGAAGGGGGCTGGTTGGGTGGGGGGCACGTGGGTTACAAGGGGGGCTCGGAAGGGGGTGGTTGGGTGGGGGGCAGGTGGGTTACAAGGGGGCTCGGAAGGGGGCTGGTTGGGTGGGGGGCACGTGGGTTACAAGGGGGCTCGGAAGGGGGCTGGTTGGGTGGGGGGCACGTGGGTTACAAGGGGGGCTCGGAAGGGGGTGGTTGGGTGGGGGGCAGGTGGGTTACAAGGGGGCTCGGAAGGGGGCTGGTTGGGTGGGGGGCACGTGGGTTACAAGGGGGGCTCGGAAGGGGGCTGGTTGGGTGGGGGGCACGTGGGTTACAAGGGGGCTCGGAAGGGGGTGGTTTGGTGGGGGGCACGTGGGTTACAAGGGGGGCTCGGAAGGGGGCTGGTTGGGTGGGGGGCACGTGGGTTACAAGGGGGGCTCGGAAGGGGGCTGGTTTGGTGGGGGGCACGTGGGTTACAGGGGGGCTCGGAAAGGGGGGGCACGTGGGTTACAGGGGGCTCGGAAGGGGGCTGGTTGGGTGGGGGCACGTGGGTTACAGGGGGCTCGGAAGGGGGCTGGTTTGGTGAGGGGCACGTGGGTTACAGGGGGCTCGGAAGGGGGCTGGTTGGGTGAGGGGCACGTGGGTTACAAGGGGGGCTCGGAAGGGGGTGGTTGGGTGGGGGGCAGGTGGGTTACAAGGGGGGCTCGGAAGGGGGTGGTTGGGTGGGGGGCAGGTGGGTTACAAGGGGGGCTCGGAAGGGGCTGGTTGGGTGGGGGGCACGTGGGTTACAAGGGGGCTCGGAAGGGGCTGGTTTGGTGGGGGGCACGTGGGTTACAAGGGGGGCTCGGAAGGGGGCTGGTTGGGTGGGGGGCACGTGGGTTACAGGGGGGCTCGGAAGGGGGCTGGTTGGGTGGGGGGCACGTGGGTTACAAGGGGGGCTCGGAAGGGGGCTGGTTGGGTGGGGGGCACGTGGGTTACAAGGGGGCTCGGAAAGGGGTGGTTTGGTGGGGGGCACGTGGGTTACAAGGGGGGCTCGGAAGGGGCTGGTTGGGTGGGGGGCACGTGGGTTACAAGGGGGGCTCGGAAGGGGGCTGGTTTGGTGGGGGGCACGTGGGTTACAGGGGGGGCTCGGAAAGGGGGGCAGTGGGTTAAGGGGGGCTCGGAAGGGGGCTGGTTGGGTGAGGGGCACGTGGGTTAAGGGGGCTCGGAAGGGGGCTGGTTTGGTGAGGGGCACGTGGGTTACAGGGGGGCTCGGAAAGGGGGGGCACGTGGGTTACAGGGGGGCTCGGAAGGGGGCTGGTTGGGTGAGGGGCACGTGGGTTACAGGGGGGCTCGGAGGGGTGTAAGGGACACTCTATGGGGGGACACACGTGGGGTAGAATGCGGGGGTTCCTCAGGTGGCCGTGTAGGTACGGAAAGTTCCCGGAACCGTGACTCCGGGGTCTCGTTCCCCATGTTCCCCGTCCCCACGTCATCAACCTCCTAATCGACCCAGCAACAGCCTAGCGCTGGATTCTGATTGGACCACGGAGAAACGCAACGGCTGAAAAAGGGCGTTTCCACGCATGCGCACATGGGGGGAGTTGCTGTTGCTAGGCCGGGAGTGCGCATGCGAATTGTATTTTCAAGCTCCCCGGAAGTGCACCTTGCGCATGCCTCTGGAACATCACAGTCGGCGCCCTATGGCGATCACAATAAGACGCATGCGCATTGAGCACAAATCTGACGTGGAGGTGCCCAAGACGCCTGGGCAGCTATACTGAAGGGCTCAGTCACCGCGCCTGCGCGGTCCGTCATTGGCTTGTCTGCGCCTGCGCGCGCGGCGCCCCGGAAGTTCTCGCCGCCCTGCGGCAGGTGGCTTCCGGCCAGCTCAGCGCGCGGCGGGGCCATGTCGGGCGCGGCGGCGGCCGGCGGCGGCGGCTCGGTGGGCTCCGTGGTGCGGCGCTTCCTGGCCGAGTACAGCAGCGGCACCGCCAGCCGCCTCAAGGTGCTGGACGCGTATCTGCTCTACGTGCTGCTGAGCGGCGCGCTGCAGTTCGGCTACTGCCTGGGCGTGGGCACCTTCCCCTTCAACTCCTTCCTCAGCGGCTTCATCTCCGCCGTGGGCAGCTTCATCCTGGGCGGTGAGTGCCGGGGAGCGCCCGCCCCGTGACCCGCCGCCCGTCCCCCCGGCAGCGCCCTCCCCCCGTGACGTGACCCGCCCGCCCGTCCCAGAGCGACCTCTCCTCCCCCGGGCAGCGCCCTCCCCCCGTGACCCACCCCGGGTTCCCCCGGCAACGCCATCCCATAGCGACCTCTCCTCTCCCGGGCAACGCCATCCCATAGTGACCCGCTCGCCCGTCCCCCCAGCGCCCTCCCCCCGTGACGTGACCCGCCGCCCGTCCCAGAGCGACCTCTCCTCCCCCGGGCAGCGCCCTCCCCCCGTGACCCGCCCGCCCGTCCCCCCGGCAGCGCCCTCCCAGAGCGACCTCTCCTCCCCCGGGCAGCGCCCTCCCCTCGTGACCCGCCCGCCCGTCCCCCCGGCAGCGCCCTCCCCCCCGTGACGTGACCCGCCCGCCCGTCCCAGAGCGACCTCTCCTCCCCCGGGCAGCGCCCTCCCCCCGTGACCCGCCCGCCCGTCCCCCCGGCAACGCCATCCCATAGCGACCTCTCCTCTCCCGGGCAACGCCATCCCATAGTGACCCGCCCGCCCGTCCCCCCGGCAGCGCCCCCCCCCGTAACCCGCCCGCCCGTCCCCCCGGCAGCGCCCTCCCCGACGTGACCGCGCCCGTCCCAGAGCGACCTCTCCTCCCCCGGGCAGCGCCCCCCCCCCGTGACCCGCCCCCGGTCCCCCCGGCAACGCCATCCCATAGCGACCTCTCCTCTCCCGGGCAACGCCATCCCATAGTGACCCGCTCGCCCGTCCCCCCGGCAACGCCCTCCCAGAGCGACCTCTCCTCTCCCGGGCAACGCCATCCCATAGTGACCCGCTCGCCCATTTCCCCCGGGCAACGTCCTCCCCTAGTGACCCGCCCGCCCCTGTGACCCGCCTGCCTGTTCCCCCGGCAACGCCCTCCCATAGTGACCTCTTCTTCCCCCTCCCCTGGCAATGCCCCCCCCAGCAACCCCATCCCATAGTAACCCCCCCATACTCTTCTGTAGTAATCTCCCCGCCTTTCCCCTCCCATAGTAACCCCCTGCCCCCGCATGGCAACAGCATCTTCTCATGGTGGCTGTATCTATGGGAGCGCTACCCCAGAGTAACCCCCATGGTAACCCCACCATATTTTCCATGGCAGCACCATCCCATAGGAACCCCCTCTGATCTTACGGGGGGTTCACCAAGGCCAGTAGTGGGTTGTCACCGCCTGCCCTGGGTGCTTCTGTGCAGCTTCGGCTCCGAGCCCCGACACCAGCAGCCGGTGCGCAGCACAGTGGCCTCGCCCTGCCTTCCACCAGCCTGCTTACCGCTCGCAGGGCAGCACCAGCAGCGTCCGCTCCCTCTGCCGGGACCCTCACGCAAATCACATTCACCGCCTCCGAACAGACAGAGCCCACGCCAGCCTGGGAGTTTAGCTGAAGACCGGCACTTCAGTTCATTAGACATCACTAAGATGGTTTTGTAGCCAAACAAAAATAAGCGTATTGACCAGGAGCCTGGGTTTAAGTGATTACACGTGAAAGAGGCAGGGAAGGTCACAAATAAAACAAACCACAATTCGTAATGACTGAAACGTAATTCTAGCACGTTACAAGCTTTGTCCGAGAGACAAGGTAGGTGAAATAATTCTTTCATTGGACCAAGTTCTGTTGTCAACAGAGACAAGCTTTGGCACTTGCACACAGCTTTTTCCCAGACCTGAAGAAGAGCTCTCAATAAGCTCCGAAGTTTGTGTCTCTTGCTAATGGAAGTTGGTCCAATAAAAGATATTCCGTCACCCACCTTGTCTCTTTAATATCCTGGGACCAACACGGCTACAACAACGCTGCATACAAATCTTTCCACAGTTTCCTTAGGTGAAAGAACGTGCGTTTACCTGTCTGGCCGGCTTGATTCCTGGCAGAAGACAATGAAAGCACATTCTCATCTCTGGTAAACAAAGCTAACCAGCAGCAGCATAGTGAGCAGAGCGGGGGCTCAGACTCTGCACCCCTGGAACCCTTTCTGGCTCTCAAAACACAGTGAACTTTGGGGTAACATAAGGGGGGGGCAGAGAGACATTGGCATCATCCTTCACCTGAGGAGACGAAGAAACCAAATGCCTTGGGCTCTGTTTGGATCTTGGCTGAAGATTGGCCGGCCATACTGGAAGCAAGTGTGGTGAGAAAACTACTTTGAACAAAGACTCTAGTTTAAGTTAGACTTCGGTCTTAGAAGCAGACTTTTACTTTGGTTTGTTTGAGACAATTTCTGTCCCTATTCCTTCTACTTGGTACCACTTAAATCTGTTCCTTCGCTAAGCAACTTGTTTTACTGTAAACCAGCTCAGAACTGTGTATTGAAGTGGAGGGTGTGTTAATTCTCACTCAGCTAACAGACTGCTTGGCCCTGCCTCTTTAGAGGAGCCGCATGCTTATTAAAGTCACGGGGGCTCAGCACTGCAGAAAAACATTTTGGGGAGAGCTTGGGGCTAGAGGTCCCCCTGCAACAGTAGCTGGGCGGTGGAAGCCAGTGTTAGAGCGTTAACCTGGCAGTGGGCACCAGGGCTGTGAGGCACAGTGTTTAAGGCATCCAGAGTTGCAAGGTAGGTATTGGCTGAACCCCTCGCTGGTCTGGGTGAGCCCCAAAGCGTCACACCCCTTATGGCAACGGTGTCTCATTGTAATGATTCCCCCTGCGCTGTCTGGGCACCTTCCTCTTCAGCTGCCTCCTGAGTAGGTTCATCTCCTCCTTGCGCAGCTTCGCTCTACGTGGTGGGCACCAGTCGTAACCTGTCCCCAGGCCGCCATAGTAGTCAGCAGCCTCTTCCCAGAGTAACCCCCATGGCATCCCTACTCCATAGGAACTGCTGCCTCCTCTCCCCTGCCCCCCCGCCTGGGCATCTCTTACTCAAGCTCCTCAGTTCTGTGGGCAGCTTCATCCTAGGCGGCGAGTAACCCAAGGCAACGACATACCACCCCATGGCAACCCCATCCCTGAGTGAGCAGCACTCCTGCCCAGCCTGAGCTGCTTCCTCAGAGCTATGGGCAGCTTCCTCCTGGGGGCTGAGCCTGTTCCCAGCACTGCCTGGATGTGGGCCCCTTCCTGTGGGGGTTCAGCAGCACCATGAGCAGCTCCAGCCTGGAGAAGCTGCACCACCTCCTGCTGTCTTGGTCTCCTTCCCCACCCTGTCCCCCAGACACGGCCCCTGGTGCAAGCTGCTCTCTCCTCCCGTTCCCTAGTTTGCCTGCGGATCCAGATCAACCCACAGAACAAAGGTGACTTCCAGGGCATCTCGCCAGAGCGGGCCTTCGCCGACTTCCTCTTTGCCAGCACCATCCTGCACCTCGTCGTCATCAACTTCGTGGGCTGAGCCAGGGGACCATTAGGTACGGCTCAGGGGTGGGGCCCAGCAGCATCCGACTGGGGGCCAGTCTGTTTGCCTTGGCGGCTTAAACTTCTGTGGGCTGGAAGAGAGCTGGGACTAGAACCCACAGTTTCTGACCCCCGGCCCCTCTGCTGGGCCCCACTCCACTCCCCAAGCTGGGATAGGACCCAGGAGTCCTGACAGCCAGCCCCTCTGCTGTAACCCACTGGGCTACACTCCCCTCCTCGATCTGAGATAGGACCCAGGAGTCCTGACACCCAGCCTCTCTGCTGGGCCGCACTCCCTGAGCCGGGATAGGACCAAGGAGTCCTGATACCTGGCCCCTCTGCTGTAACCCACTGCCCTTCCTCCCCCCCGCCCCGAGCTGGGACAGAACCCAGGAGCCCTGACTCCAAGACCCCCACTGCTCATCTTTCTGCCTGAGGCTGACGTGCCCTTTGAACTCTGTCAGTAGCAAACAGGATTTCTGGAGACGTCTTTTCTCTTTGCTGCTGTGAGGCAGAGGGAACAGGGAGCCTGGGTTCTGTCCCTGGCTGAGAGGAGTGGAGTTAATCCTGGTGTAGTGGCCCTGCAGGAGGCAGAGTGTCAGGGCTCAGCTGGAGACCAAGGAGTGGATGGAGTTTGGGGGGTTACAGGCCTGGAGATCTGTACGATCTACATGAGAGGTTCTCAAACTGTGGGTGAGGACCCCAAACCAGGGTGAGCAGGGATGGTTTCCCTAGCCTCTGTTTGCCAGACGCTGGGAATGGGTGATGGGATGGATCACGTGATGACTCCCTGTTCTGTTCATTCCCTCTGGGGCACCTGGCATTGGCCACTGTCGGCAGACAGGACACTGGGCTGGATGGACCTTTGGTCTGAGCCAGGATGGCCGTTCTTACTGAGCTGCAGAGGACACAGGGCTGGAATTTGGGGCGATGGAGGAGCTTGGACCAGGGCTCTGAGAGGGAAGAAATGTGAGGAGATGGGGGTCATGGAACCTGGCTGCGAGCTCAGGGTCACGGTGTTTCTGGAGGTCGGGGGGGGGGGGAAGTCTGTGTAATTTGGGGGATCCCCCCATCTTCCCCTGCAGTAACTCCAGATATCTTTGTGCCCCCTCTGTCTCCCTGCAGGTCCTGACTACCTCTCATGGTCGGCTGATGCCATGCCCAGGGGACAGATGTGCCAGCCCCCCATGGACGTGGGTCCTGCCCCTCATGGGGAAGGGCTGCAACAGTGCAAACTGATGAGGCCTCTTGAGAAGATGGCAGCCCCTCCCCCTCACCGCTTGTGACCCCATCCCCCAATAAACCCCATTGTTCTGGGGTTCTGTGTCTGGCACTTCTGTGATGGATCAGGGGGTTCCTCAGCTTTCCCTTCCCCAGCTCACCCCCACCGCCCCCCATTCAGGGAGACTCACCCAGCCCCACGCCTTCTCCCCAGCAGTCACTTCTGCATGACCCAGTTTCGGGGGGTGGGGGGGGAGCAGGAAGCGGGTTGCCATGGAAACCCAAACCCCATGCCCACCCCTCACTTCCCGTCTCTTATCACATGGAAACCATCGCTCTGTGGTCCAGGGCCCCCGGCCTCCAAAGCAATTGCAGGGGGGAGCTGTGGAAAGTTTGGGTTGAGACAGTACTTTGGGGGGAAGAAGGGGGGGTTGTTTCTATTTTAGGATCTTCCAGGCAAATGCTCCCCCACCTGTTTGTGTGTGTGCGTTCTCCCCCTGGCCTCTGAGTCTCCAGAGCAGCTGCAGGCGGGGGAAGGCTCTGTCCCTATTTCACACACACCCTGCCCTGCAGAGTGTTCCCCCCTGTGACCCTGGGGTTAGTGCTGACCCCCGGGGGGAGCTCACCCTCCTCAACCCCCCCTGCTCAGTGCCTCCTTGTGCTATCCTGGAGCCAGCTGTGACTTGGGGATGAATGCCCCCTACTGTGTTTAGCAGAGTGCCCCCCGACTCCGCTCTGGGGCATTGGGGTTAGCTGTGACTATGGGGAGAGTCCACCACCCCACTGAGCGTTTGAGCCTCTCTCCTTATGCTACCACAGGCAAGGGCAGCTTCTGCTCCGTGCCAATTGACTGAGAGCTCCCAAATGACCAGCCGGACAATTAATTTCAGTTACTCCCAAGCTGGGCTGGGCTTGACCCACTGTCTTCTGTAGCTGTAGGCTGGCTGGGAAGAGCAAGCTGCTTGCTCTGGGCTCTGATTAGAGTGAGCAGAAGGGAGAAGCTCTCTTTGTGGGGTGGACGTGGGATAGCTGGGGTGTAGAGTGGGGCTCTAGATTAAGAGTGGGCAAACTTTTTGGCCCAAGGGCCACATCTGGGAATAGAAATTTGTATGGTGGGCTATGAATGCTCACAAAATTGGGTTTGGGGTGCAGGATGGGGTCAGGGCTCTGGGGTGGGGCCAGAAATGAGGAGTTCAGGGTGCGGGAGGGGGCTGGGTGGCGGTGTGGGGTGCAGGCTCTGGGCTGGGGCTGGGGATGAGTTTTGGATGCAGGAGGATGCTCTGGGCTGGGACCAAGGGGTTCGGAGGGCGGGAGGGGGATCAGGGGTGCAGGCTCCAGGAGGTGCTTACCTCAAGCAGCTCCTGGAAGCAGTGGCCATGTCTCCCATCTGGCTCCTATGCGGAGCTGCAGCCAGGCGGCTCTGCACGCTGCCCTGTCCGCAGGTGCCGCCCCTGCAGCTCCCATGGGCCGTAGTTCCCGGCCAATGGGGGCTGTGCTTGGGGGGGGCGGGGGGGGGGCAGTGTGCAGAGCGAAGCCCCCTGGCTGCCCCTACGCATAGAAGCCAGAGTGGGGCCGTGCTGCTGTTTCCGGGAGCCGCATGGAGCAGCCCCTGACCCTGCTCCCCGGCTGGAGCACCGGAGTGGGGCAAGCCCCTGACCCTGCTCCCCGGCTGAAGCACCGGAGTGGGGCAAGCCCCTGACCCTGCTCCCCGGCTGAAGCACCGGAGTGGGGCAAACCCCTGACCCTGCTCCCCAGCAGAAGCTGGCGGGCTGTAGTTTACCCACCCCTGTGCTAGACCCTCCCCATTCCTGAGATCCCAAAGCGCGTCTCCCCTCACCCTGATCTCTCCATTAACGCATCTCGGAGCTGAGAACGGGGCAGCGAGGGACCTCGAGTCCAGGCCCTGCTGTGCTAAGCAACTCCTTCCTCTAATCGCCTTCGTAAATTCATCCCGCTCCATCTCCAGACCGGCGAGGTGGTTTGTCCCCACTCCTGCTAGGGGAGGCTGCTCCGGGCCCTCGCGCCTTGGAGAGGGCTGGAAACCTTTTTGTCATTTCCAGATTGTTTATTCAGGGCCGATTTATCCCCATGTGGTCCCCTGTCGACATTGTCTTTACACTTCAAAAGCTCTTCTCCCTTGCTGGTGTTCTACCCCGCAGCCGCACGTAGGGAGAGCAGTCGGCTCCCCTCAGCCTTCCTTCGGCTGGGCGAAGCAAGCCAAGCCTTTCCCGTCCCCCGGGGCTGTGCTTTCTTCCCTGTGTCTAGTCCCTGCTCCGGAGTGGAGCTCACCTCCCAGCTTGCTTTTCAAGCCGCACGTGTTCCAGGAGCAGCGCGTCTCCCGTGGCGTGGCTGGGTTGGAAGGGTCTCCTCTGGGAGGCCAGCAAGGGGCGTGACTTTGGGACAAGAGCCCAGTTCGAAGGTGGGCGCTGGCCTCTCCACGGGTCAGGAACGGCGGGATTCAGGTGGGACAGGGTAACAAGGTGTTGCAGCGAATGAGCAATGCTCTACGCCGACTCGCTGAGTGGACACAGCAGCCCCTGCCTCTGCGCTGGGCTGGGTGGAGCAGGGGCCTCTCTACCTGCTACCCCAGCACCCTTGTGGCTCAAGCCCTGGAGCTTTCCTGGTCCTATATACGTACCTGGCTCCATGGGATCAGGGCCCTGAGCCTGCCTAGGCCGGTGTTCCCCTGCGTACGCAACCCCTGCTGCATGAGACCAGGCCAATGGGTCCTTCTCGCCCCGTGTCCCCCCGCCCCCCAGGCTGCCATTTAAATAGAACGGGGGAGACGGTCCTCCCCATGCTTCCCACCAAGGCATGCCGGGCTGTTCTTGGCCCGTCCCAAGAGGCGGAGGGGCGAGGAGCCAGCTGCCGAGATGCTGCTCGCTGTTCCTGGCATCAGCAGCCAAGCCTGGCAGTGCTGACAGGAGGCCCCAGGCCAAGCAGGGAGCTGTGGGGAAGGGGTGCCTGCCCCGTGGGCTCCTGCCTGTGATGGCAACTCCTTCCCTGGGGCCTAAACTCCCTCCCCCACAACACGGGGTCCAGCCCTGGGGGGTGTATGTGTCAGCACTGGGTGCTCACACTGCGGGACTGGGAGCACCCTGAGGTGTCGAGTAGAGATCAGTGCCCAGCCTTGGCCGTGGGTCCACCCTTCCCATGCTCCCCAGAGGGCCAAGGCCGAGAAACTTGGCTGTTGGCGCGAATGCTGAGCTTGTCTGTTCCAGTTCTGGATTCTCCCAAGTGCGGGGGGCCCTGGGGCTATCTGCTTTCCCAGCTCACCGGCCAGCCTAGCCAACAGTATGGATCCTTGAGCGCCTCCTTGCTTCCCCTCCTCCCGGGTGACCGCACCGCACCCCCCCAGCGCCCGGTCAGGGCAAGCTGGCACCATCCCTTTCCTCCTCCACGGCGGCACCCACCAAAACGCTGTCCTGGGCTGGTCATTTCGCTGCAGTGCCCCTCTAGGACACGTTAAAATCGAGGCAATTGTCTGAGAAATGTTCCCAAAGGACAATGTTTACATTTTATCCTTGAACCCAAGAGCAGCCAGGGAACTAAGCGGCCCTCGGACGTCCTGCCGAAAGTTGCCTCCACTCACTGAAATCCGAAATAAGAACAGCTGTTCTGGGTCGGAGCAATGGTCCAATGGCCCAGTGTCCTGTCTTCCGACAGCGGCCAGTGCCAGGGGCCCCAGCGGGAACGACCAGAACCGGGCAGTTCTGGGTGATCCAGGGTGATCCCTCTTGTCCCGTCCCAGCGTCTGGCAGCTGGAGGTTTAGGGACACCCAGGCCATGGGGTTGCATTCCTGGCTCATTGCCATTGATGGACCTGGCCTCCAGGAACTTAATGTAATTATGTTTTGACCCCAGGTATATTTTTGGCCTTCACAACGTCCCCTGGTAACCAGTTCCCCAGGCTGAGGGTGCGCTGTGAGAAGAAGAACTTCCTTCTGCTTGTTTTACACCTGCTGCTGTTCGTTTCCTTGGGCGCCCCGGTTCTGACTCCTAGGCTTGTGGTAAGTGAAGGGGAAAATAACAATTACTTTCTCCACACCAGGCTTGATTTTATACCCCTCTGTCCCAGCGGCTCTCAGCCATTCCAGACGACTGTACCCCTTTGTCTTGTGTAACCCCAAGTTTCAGCTCACTTAAGAATGACTTGCCTACAAAATCAGACCTAAAAATACAACAGGGTCCCAGCCACCCTCCTAGTGAACAATGGCTGACTTTGTGCCATATAATTATCAAATAACTCAACTGGAATATCGATATTGTCCTGGCATTTCAGCGTACAGCATATCGAGCAGTATAAACAAGTTGTCTGTATGAAATCTGAGTTTGTACTGACTCTGCTGTGCGTTTCATGTAGCCTGTTGTACCCCGAGGCTGTACCCCCTGGAAGACCCTTGCGGACCCCAGAGGCCTGGCTGAGAACCACTGCTCTCTCATACCCCCTTAGCCCTCTTTTCTAAGCTGACCGGTCCCAGGGCGTTTAATCTCTCCTCCTCCGGAAGCCGTCCCATCCCCCTCATCATTCTTGTTGCCCCTCTCTGCACCTTTTCCAATTCTAATGTGTCTTTCTGAGAGGAGGTGACCAGACCTGGGGGCGTGTACAGTGGCATTAGGGTATTTTCAGCTTTAGTGCTGCTTTGGGTCATTGCTCTGTGTCATGGGACTTACAAGCTAACGGTGTGTTTGTGGGTAATCTAAGCACTACACCCAGATTGCCGACACTCTTTCCCCAACCTATGTACCGTAGAACTTTTTGTAACATTAGCTTTAATAACATTTTAAAATCTGTCCCTTTCCTAATCTGCTGCGCACACACTTCCTGCTGTGTCAGATCAGACCAATGGGCTCCTCAGCACACCACTCCTCCTTCCTGCCTGCCAGGGCTGATCAGAGCGTGGGAGCTGGTTCCTGCCCGGATTGCTGAGCACCCCATCCATCCACTCCCGGGTCTCTGCCCCACGCCCTGCCACACCAGGGCAGACCAATGCACCTGGCCAACCTGGTGCGTCAGTTCCTCTACGTCCCTTGTGCCCATCTCGGCCCAGGGCAGGGGGACTGGCTGACTCAGGAGGGCAAGGAACGGGGCACAGGGCCTCCCGCTCTGGGGTGTCTGTTCCTATTGACAAGACATGAGTGCCATCTGGTGGGTTTTCACAACTTCACCAGTACCTTGGATTTAAAAGGCTACATTTTCTCCCCCTGGTGGTGAAAGATTTTCCACTAATCGTCCCAAATTACCTGAGAATATTTTTCTTTAAACCCCTTTGTGACTCACAATCCTTTCTTTCTTTCTTTCTTTCTTTCTTTCTTGCAGTTTCTGCAGATGCTGCTGCCCTCTGGTGGCTGACTTTATGAATTGCACACAGGCTGACATTTTTTCCTCCTTATATTTCATTCCTTTCAATTTCCCCCTTTTCATCTTCTCTCACTTCCCCAGGCGCCCCAAGGTCCCAGGGGCTGAGTCCTGGCTCTGCATTAGCTGCAACCGTCCCAGAGAGACCCCGAGCCTTGGTCCCTATGTAGGAAGAGGGGGGCAGCGGCAATCTTACCCAGAGGTGTATTTCCAAGGGGAACTCCAGCTCCCTGTGCAAAGGTGATGCAGGAGGAAGGTAGCAGATGACGGAGGCCCATCCTTCCATGGGAACCCTGCCCTGTACAAAGGGGTGTAGAGGTGGGTAGGGGATTATCCCCTGGGGGGACCCTGCCCCGCATAAAGGGGTGCTGAGGGGGGAGGGCGTTATCCCCGGGGGGACCCTGCTCTGTATAAAGGAGTGCACAGGAGTGTAAGAGGGTTATCCCCGGGGGACCCTGCCCTGTACAAAGTGGTGCAGAGGAGGGTAGGGGGTTATCCCCGGGGGGACCCTGCCCTGTACAAAGGGGTGTAGAGGTGGGCAAGGGGTTATCCCCAGGGGGACCCTGCCCTGTATAAAGGGGTGCAGAGGAGGGTAGGGGGTTATCCCCGGGGAACCTTGCTCTCTATAAAGGGGTGCAGAGGTGGGTAAGGAGTTATCCCCAGGGGGACCCTGCCCTGTACAAAGGGGTGCAGAGGAGGGTAGGGGGTTATCCCCAGGGGGGCCCTGCCCTGTATAGAGGGGGGTACATCAGTTGGTAGCAGGTGAAAGGGATGTATCCCAAAGGGGACCCCCCCTCCTTGAATGAAAGGGGGAGGGGCAGGGTCTCTATGTAGAGCTCCCCTCCCCCCTCAGGGTAATTTCCGTTCCCCTTGTGTGACTCTATACATAGGTTGTTCTTTCCACACACCCCCGGGTGCGGTCGGGGGCCGCGTGCTCTGTGGGCAGCGTCTCCTTTCTGCCCTGGCTGGTGGTCTAACGGCTGCCCCGCCACGTGCCCCCCTCCCCCCCGCCACGTGCCCCCTTCCCCCCCGCCACGTGCCCCTCTCTGCCACGTTCATATTTTTAACTCCTCTTTCCAGAGGAAGTGGTTTGCACGGGAGGGGAGAGCTTCAAAGGTGACCCAGATCTCTGGGTGGCCGTGTTGTCATGGAAATGTTGACGTGTCCTTAACCTCACCCCCACCTGGGTTCTGAGTCATTTTCCACTTCCTGTCCTACTTGTTATTTCCTGCCTCCCAGCTGCACGGGGGGGGACTTGTTGTTGACATATACAACAAACCAAAGTGGGACGGGGGGAGGAAACCTCAAAGTCTAAAAGGGTCTGTGAAGCAAACTTACTAACTTCTTGGCATCTCATGTGTTTTAGGACAACAGGGACCATGAGATCATCTCATTTGCCCTCTGGTAAAAACAGAGGCCCTGGTGGTCTCCCCTGGTGAGTCCAGTGTCTCGCCCGATCACTCGCGATTGAGCGAATCTTTTGGGAAGAGCCAGCCAATCTCGATGCAGACTGGGATTTCCAAAGGGGCAGCTGGATGTTGTGTGCCTAACAGAGCCACTCAGAATGGTCTCATCCAATCAGTTTAGGATGAAAAAATGCCATTTTTTGGCAAAGTCAAAAAGTTGGGGGAAACGTCGAGCGGGATGAGTCCGAGCATTTCGACCGTGTCGAATCCACCCATTGTGGAATGGGGCATTTGGAGTTTTTGTTTTTATATATATATTAAAAAATTATAACATGTTTTAATAGGTCAAAATCAGAACAAAATATCTTGGTGGTATCAAAGGGAGATGTTTGGATTCATCCAGAATGACCTTTTTTTTTTTTTTTTTCCCCGAATTTCATTTTGTGAGAAATTTTTAAAAAATTGGTTGGTTTCAGGCTGGGGAAGAAGTTCAAACTCACAGAATTCCCTATGCAATGGAAACTCCAGCTTCCGAGCCCAACTCCCCTCGGGTTCTTTGGAATCCTAGCCTTAATGACCCCAACTGAGAGAGAATCCACCACATTCCCGGGGGCTTTGCTCCGGTGTTTACTTACCCATGACGTTAGCAATCTGCCCCTTAGTGTCTAGCTCCACTTTCCAGCCATAGGATCCCATTTTGCATTTGTGTGCCAGGTTAGAGAGCCCTGTGCTATCGGAAATCTCCCTGTTCACCTCTTCACCTTCCCTGTGATCAACTCAGTTGATTGAGCGGTGGGACTCTCTCATTGGAAGTTATTGTTTCACGTGGGTTCAATTTCCAGCTGCGCTCAGACTCCCTGGGTGACCCTCCCCCCACCAACTCGTCACTTAATAGCTCTGTGCCTCGGTTTCCCACCTGTGATGAGGGTGTCATGATCCTTCCCGGCCTCACAGGTCATGAGCATGAATGATAGGTAGGGCCGCTCCAAATTCACGGCCATGAAAAACCATGAAATCTGGTCGTTTGTCTGCTTTTACCCCCTACTATACAGAGTTCGCGGGAGAGACCAGCATTTCTCCAATTGGTGGTTCTGGCCCAAAAAGGAGTTGCGGGGGGGTCACCAGGTTATTCCAGGGAGGCTGCAGTATTGCCACCCTGCTTTCTGCACTGTTGCCTTCAGAGCTGGCTGGCCGGAGCGCGGCGGCTGCTGGCCAAGGGCCCGGCACCGAAGGCGGGGCCCGGCCAGCAGCAGCGCAGAAGTGCGAGTGACAGTCCCACCCCAGGCCACCCTACTCTTCCCTGCCGCTGGCGGCGGCTCTGCCTTCAGAGCTGGCTGGCCGGAGTGCGGCGGCTGCTGGCCAAGGGCCCGGCACCGAAGGCGGGGCCCGGCCAGCAGCAGCGCAGAAGTGCGAGTGACAGTCCCACCCCAGGCCACCCTACTCTTCCCTGCCGCTGGCGGCGGCTCTGCCTTCAGAGCTGGCTGGCCGGAGTGCGGCGGCTGCTGGCCAAGGGCCCGGCACCGAAGGCGGGGCCCGGCCAGCAGCAGCGCAGAAGTGCGAGTGACAGTCCCACCCCAGGCCACCCTACTCTTCCCTGCCACTGGCGGCGGCTCTGCCTTCAGAGCCGGGCCCTCGGCCAGCAGCCGCCGCACTCCGGCCACCCAGCTCTGAAGCCAGCACCACCGCCAGGAGTCAGGATGGCAAGTACCACAACCCCCCCTGCAATAACTTTGTGACACCCCCCCGCCCCGCCCCCCCACACACACAACTCCTTTTTGGTTCAGGACCACTACAATTACAACACCGTGCAATTGCAGATAAAGAGCCATGCACCTGAAGAAGTGGGGTTTTCACCCACAGAAGCTTATGGCCAAATCAATCCGTTAGCCTTTAAGGTGCCACCGGACTCCTCGTGGTGTTTGTGGATACAGACTGACACGGCTCCCCCCGATACTAGCCAAACAGCTGAAATCATGACATTCGCTATTTTTAAGATCCTATGACCGTGAAATTGGACTGTGAATTTGGTAGGGCTCGAACGATCGGACACAGGGCTGGAAGGCGCCTCCCGGGCTGTTGAGTCCCGTACCCTGCTGGCGCAGTCCATCCTGTTCATAAAGGTACCAAACTCCATCCTAAACCTCGTTGGGCATCTGTCCTCCACTGGCTCCTGCTGGGAGGCTGTTTCAGACCCTGCCTCCTCTGAGGGTTAGAAACCTTCTAATTTGTTCATGGCCAGTTTATACCCATTTGTTCTTTGGCCAACATTGTCCTCCAGCTGCTGCAATAGCTCCCTGCTCAGTGTTCCTCGCCCCCCGGTATATTTACAGTGAGCGCTCTGTCCACTCCCTCTCCTATGAGCTGCTCTCCATTCCCCTGATCATCCCAGTCGCCCTTCACCGCACCTGGCCCGGTTTGCATGAAGCTGGCTTGAGCACGGGTGCCTGAATTGCATGCAGGGTTACAGGTGGCCTTGTAGAATCCCTCAAGAGCTGGGCGCGGCTCAGATCCTAGGGTGACGGGGGTCTGTGGTTTGCCTAGAGAGAAGGGCTATTTTGTAGATTTCATGGGATTTCAGGCCAGATGGGAGCATTAGAGCTTCTAGTCTGACCCCTTGTATGACACAGACCCCTACATGGAGGGCAATTGTTTAGGTGAGTGATGCTCAGGTAAATCCAGTGCCCCATGCTGCAGAGGAAGGTGAACTCCCCCCAGTCCCTGTCAATCTGACCCAGGGCAAATTCCTTCCTGACCCCAAATCTAGTGATCCTGATCACATGAACAAGATGCACCAGCCCAGCATCTAGAAAGAGGATTGATTCTCTGTACCACGGCAGCGCCCTAGCCAGCCCTGCCTGGTGTCCCGTCGCCAGCTGGGGCCAATTCCCGATGCTTCAGAGGAGCGGGGGGGAATCCAGAATACATCCGGCCAATCGTGTCTCAGCCAGCAACGGGCTGCAGCCCTGAAGCATGAGAATGGATGCGAGTCAGCGTCTGAGTGCGGAGCTGCAGGAGTTATGAGCATGCTGACAGGAGGGCAGGGAACCCTGTTCTCCCCGTGGCCCGTGGTGGAGCGGAGATGAAGAGGATGGTTGGGCAGAGGCTAGCTATGAGCCGTCCCGTGTGACATCTTCAGGACCATTCCTGACAGCAGCTGGAAACCTGCTGAGCCGCCTCACGCTGGCGTGTGCTGCATCTCTTGCTGGAGAGGCAGTGTGGCTAGTCACTAGGACAGGCCCCGGAAGACCTGGGTTCTAGTCCTGAGCTGTCGTTTCAATGTGGGCCATTTGCTTTGGCTGATATTTTCAGCCAGTGCCCCTTAGAGGGGAAAGACCCCAAATCCCATTCCTCACCCCTCTGAGCCAGCAAGTCCCTCAGCCGTGGGGACGGATTGGAACTGGCTAGAGTGGAGAACTCCAATACCCCATTCCCTGACCCCCCATCCTGCACCGGGGAGAGGCCTTTTATCCCATTCCCAATAACGGCCAACACTGGATGCTGGGGAGAAAAATCAACCATCTTCTCACCCAAGCCCACGCATTGTCCATTAGGTGGAATTCCTTCCTGTATTTCCCCAGCTGGTGGTCCCAATAAATCTCCCAGAGCTAAACACACAAAACAGCAAGGGTTCTCACGATCAGCCAAGTTCTTTAATAGCAGCCCAGGGCAGACCAGAAAGGAAATTTGAGTACATTATCATCTCCTCAATGCGATACAAAGAAGCTTGGCAGGAAATGAAAAAAAAAAAGATACAATCTTTTCCAAAGCATAAACATGAGCAAATATCACAATTTAGAAAGGCTGAAAATAGGGAGATCAGGTTAACAGAGCTAAAGGTCGGTATAAATGCAGATTTGAAACATAAAAGCTAGGTTCAGGCCAGAGCTGGTATAAATTCATAGCGTTTATGGCAGGAAAGACTAGTCCGACTTCCTGGCTATTACATCTCCCCTGCAATGGGCCCAGAACCTGCATGTGACTCAAGCACATCTGGTGCTTGGCTAAAGCACCTCTTCCAGAATTGCTGGAAGAATTCTACACCCGGGGATCTGGCCTCAAATTCTGCAGAGCAGGGACGGTTAGAGACACATGGGGTCATGTGTACAAGTTTCTTCAAGTCACAGAGGCCCGATGGGACCATTCTGGTCTAGCCCAACTTCCTGCCTATAACACAAGCCAGAGAGTTTTGCCCGCTGATCCCTGCTTTGAGCCCGTAACGTCTAGGGGAACTACAGCGGGCCTTTTGGAAAGACATCCGGTCTTGATGTAAAGAGCACAAGCGAGGGGAAATCCACACATGCCTAGTTAAGACAGTCCAATTGTTAATTACCCTCACTGTTAATGTGCACTTTATTGCCAGGCTGAATTTGTCTAGCGTCAACTTAAAGAACCCACTACGATCAGAAATGCGTTGGCTGGATTTTCAAAGGAACTAGCTGCCTAAATGCTATTGAATTTCAAGTGGAGATGGGTGCCTCATTCTGCAAGGCACCTTTGAAAATCCCAGTGTGTGGCAGAGAGTGTAAAATTCAACCTAGGGGATTTTAATGCCCAATTCCCACTGATTTCAAAGGGAAACAGGTGCCCAAAGCCCTTAGGCTTTGAAAAATCTCAGCCTCAGTGTCTCTGTGCTTCAGTTTCCCCTTTTCAAAATAGGGTTAATGGTAAAGCTGGTTTGTTCTGCAGAAAATTTCAATGAAGACTAAAAAAATATTCACTTTTGTTGAAATTTGCACTGGAAAAAAATTGTTAAAAAAAGTTGGTTTTGGTGTTTGACAACTGAAAACTGAAAATTTTCAGACAAAAACTGAAAAATCTTGTAGCCAAAAACTGTAAAAAAACCAAACTGAAAAATATTCAGTTTTTAGCCAAACATTTTCGGTTTCTGATGAAAATTTGAAGTTTTTTTCTAGGAAAATGGGGACTTTCTGCCAAAAAAATTGAAACCCAGTTTTCCATCGAAAAATGTTTTCATGCACATTTGTTGACAGCTCTAGTTAATAGCAATTCCTTGCCCTACACTGGGAGCTTGTGAGGATAAATGTGTCAATCTGTGGAGGGTGAAAGGGAGGAGGGTCATGGAAAAACCAGGCTAGGTAGGTGAGATCCTTCTAAAACTTGCTAAGTGAAAGCACATCAGATCATTATACATCAGGCCTATATACAGAGGTGATATGGGGACCATTCATTTCATTATATTTCCTGCTGCATGGGAAGGTGAAGAGATGACACCAGGTCTCTGAGGAATTCCCATCACTCCAGATTCCATCTGTCCTCTTTCCTTCCACTCCTGTAATGAGAGAGCAGAAGGAGAGTGTCCGTTTATTGTTTACAGTGCAGTCAGGTCTGGAGACCCCAGCCAGGTTGAAGGATTTCATTGTGCTGGGTAGACAACTAGGAATGGAAAGATAAAACAGAAAGAGAGAGATGGATATCCAGATGGATAGCTACTGGCAAGGAAAGATGGATTGACAGAGGTGTGGATAGTGGGTATGATGAATAGACAGCTGTTTATGGGGTTGGATGGACAGAGAGGCGTGTGTGGGTATAGATAGGTGTGTATGGTAATGGATAGATAGTGGGAAGGGAAAATGTTGGGTGGAGATGAATAAACAGATCCTGGGAAGGAAGGAGTGATAGAAAAGAGGGACCCTTAGGTAGATAATACAAGGGCAAATGAAGGATAGAAGGTAATAGGTAGATAGATGACAGATATTGAGAAGAATGGATTGATAAATAATAGAGACTATGAAGCCAGGATAGACAGATGATAGGAAGAGAGATACCATGGAGAGAAGGATGGACAGATAGATTGGACAGAGAGAAAGATACTCTGGAGGGGAAGACGGCTAGAGAGCTACACAGATAGATGCTGCTGAGGAAAGGATGGATGGAGAGAGAGATTTGAGGGTGAAGGAAGACTGGCTGGCTGGATTACACAGATCCCCATAGCCTTCCCCATCCCACTCACTTTAGCTTTTCCACAGCCAGAAGGTCAGGAGCAGGTTAAGTGCCACTCCTTTCACAAAAACGATTCTCAGGCCCAGCAGCGTGAATGACAGGAGGTTTAGCTGATTGTCTGTAAGACAACAGTAAAACAAAGGTCACAAAAGATCAGACACACACACACTATGGATTCTGACATCTGCCTCACTCCTGACTCTTACTCGGGGGTTCGATGCAGCTGGAAGCTACAAGGAATGGGATGACATTGACCCTACCAGAGACTAGCTGACCCTGTTCACAGAGGCTGGGATTTTCACAAGTTGGGTGCCCAACTCCCTTTGAAAGTCAGTCTCTAGCTCCCTTCGGCCCACTTTGAAAGTCCCAGATGAAGCTCTTTGCCTCAGCAATTCCATACAGCAGAGAGTTCCACAGGTTAAAGAAGTGGTGTCCCTAACCTCTGTTTGCCAGAAGCTGGGATTGGGCGACAGGGGATGGATCACTAGGTGATGATCTGTTCTGTTCATTCCCTTTGGGTCACCTGGCACTGGCCACTGTCAGAGGACAGGACACTGGGCTAGATGGACCTTTGGTCTGACCCAGTCTGGCCGCTCTTATGGTCTTATGCAAGTGCTTCCTCTTATCAGTCCTAGCTTTGTCCTGGACGCTGCATCCGTACCTGTCTCAAAATTGTCATCCAGCTCCATTATCTTGCATGTGTCACCTGTAAATAAAAATACCCATCAGCTATTAATAGAAATAATCAAAACAATTTCATTCACATAAGTATCTGTGTCTTTTTATTTAGCATGTTTACAATGGCTGTGCTAAGGGGCCAGCTGAGAACAGGGCTTCCTCATGCTAGGTGCTGTGGAAACACAGACTAAGGTTCAGAGTGTCACAGATTTTATGGCTAGAAGGAATATTAGATCATCTAGTCGGACCCCCTGCATAAGACAGGCCAGAGAATTTCACCCAGGCACCCCGGTATTGATCTCAATCATGTGTCTGAGTAAAGCATCGTCCAGACGGACATCAGGCTTGGGCTGACAATAGCCAGAGCTGGAGAATCCAGCACTCCCCTGGGGATTTTGTCCCAGTGGCTAATCACCCCTGCTGCTAGAACATTGTGCCTCAGATCTCATCTCAGCTTATCTGGCTTGAGCTTCTGGCCTGGGGTTCCTCTTGTGCCTTTCTCAGCTAGGTGGAGGAGCCTCCAGGACCTGCGTGCTCCCCCTTTCGCAGCACTCAGGCACTCGAATCAAGCCACCTCGCCCTTCTGGTCAGATAAACAGACTGAGCTCTGCAGGTCGCTCACTGCAAGGGATTTTCCCAGCCTTTCAAATGGTTTCTGTAGCTCTAGTCTACACCCTTTTGAAATGTGGCTGCTGGACCTGGATGCAGTACTGGGCTCCCGCACGCTGTGTACACAGTTAAAATTACCCCCCACCCAGTCCGACTCGCCACTCCCCTGTTTACTCCTCTGTATCAGGGTGGCACGCTCCCTGAGCTGCCGAGGCTGGGCCCAGCCCACCCTGATTCCAGGACAAGCCCCACCTGAGAGGTATCAGGAGTCAGGTGGAAGCACTAAGAAGGCCCAGCTGGGGGAAAGGCCAGAGGGCAATGGTTGTAGGAAGCCTGAAACAGCCCCTCAGTAACTGGAGAAGAGACTGGCTGCAGGAGAGGCTGGGAGGTTTTGTTTCTGGTAAAGAATTCGGAAGGTTAGTTTGGAGAGTTGTGACCCCAGCAGGCAGGCTAAAGACTGATCCAGCCAGAGGGCTGAGCCACCTGTCAAAGCAACCCTCACAGGTCTGCAGTGACCTTCACTGGGGCATGCGAGCCTAGCCAGGAGCTGCTCCGCTTCCCGTGGCTGTGAAGGGATGCATTCAGGTGAGTAGGACGCTTGTTGCCATGTCCAAGAATAGTATTAGCCCTTTTCACTGCAGGGCCGCACTGGAAACTGTTCTTTGGCTGCTTGTCCGCTGTGACTCCATAATCCCTTTCAGTGTCGCTGCTCTCGGAGATACAGTCCCTTGTTCTGTGGGGGTGGCCTGTGTTCCTAGGTGTAGCCTTCGGCTGTCTCAAGGCACGTTTTATTTGACTGGCCACGTGAACCAGGGTGCCCTGGCCGCCCCCTTGTTTACCACTCTGCCAATCTTTGGGTCACCCACAAATTTTAAGAACGGCGATTTTATATTTACTTCCAGGTCATTGATAAAGAGATTTAATGGCACCTTGCCTAGCATCGGTGCCTGTGTACCCCTACCACAAAACCCATTATCCCTGCCACCAGCTTATCCATATCTCCCACATGCCAATGAGAATGGGTCATTTCATTGGTCACCACCAATCTGGGACCAGAGCCCAGCCTGCAGCCTAGAAACCACCTCCCAGCCCGCACGTTTACCTTCCTCAGCGCTCTCCTTCATACTGTCTACTCCCACTTCATGTTCAGCAATGCAGTGAATGTTCTCCTGGTCTTCCCAGAGCACCGTCCCATAGCTTGCTTCCATTTCTCCGCTGTCTGGGTTTTTCACCTGCACAATGGAGGCATTGACGTCTGTGAGAGATATATCTGAGATCCCAACTTTGATGTTGCCAGGGGAGAAGTCCGTGATAAGGCAAGCTGAGTAGATCCCATTTTGGGACTTCACTTGGTAGATAGAAGCTTTAGATTTTTCGAGATCTGTGAAAGAGAAAAATCACATGGTCGGGGGTCACTAACCACAGTCCTTGCATGCCTCGTCATCTAAATCTGAAAACCAGGCCATGTAGCGAGAGACTTAAGATAACCTCCTCTTGGATAGACTAGATTGGTCAAGGGGCAACTTCACCCCAGTCTATACAAGGAAGAGATTTCTGACAGTAGGCAGCTCTTCTTTAATCTAGCAAAGGCAGAACAAAATCATAGAAAGCCAGGAAAGACCCCTGTTCTACTCTAGTCTGGCCTCCTGTATTACTTGGACCGTAAGAGTTGACTGAACTAATTCCTGTTTGCACTAGAGCATGTCTTTCTAGAAAAAGAGCAAACTTGATTTAAAAATTTCTCCTCCCTACACCTATTCGAATACTAGTTGATAATTGTCCTATAGACATAATCACTTCAAGCCATGAATGTTTGTTTCTTTAATCTTTCCCCAAAGGTCAGACCCTCCAGACAGCGGCTCAGTTGTCTGGTTTTTCTCTGCATTCCCTTCGTTATGGGTTTGGGATACCCAGAAAAGTCACTTTCTCACCCCTATTCTGTACTGAATGTGTCATGGTGTGTCATGGCAGTTCCACTCTCTGGTCTCTGCTCATGAATGGCTAGATTTCAGTTTTGGACTATTTGGGAGACAAGGATAGGCCTTACAGAGGGATGGACGGAGAGAGACTGCAGAGGAAATGATGGATGGATGGTTGGCTGGATATTGGAGGAGTGCAGATCAATGGGTAGATCTCAATGAGGCAAGACTGGATATGGTTGGGCAGCTAGCTAGCTATTGCCGGCGAAAGGCCAGATAGATTCGTCATTAGTTTTACAGTTAATCATTATTTGCCTGACTCTGTGCTACGTACCCCAAACCCTTGACTAACCCTAGCAGAGGGGGGGTGTGGTGGTTGTTTTTGCACTCCCTTTCTGACTGTGCGGTACTTTTGCAAATGGCTGACTGAGCAGATAACAATGAGAGGCTGGTTTTGCAGAGTGCAACGCCTGTGACGTGTGTTTGTTTCTCAAGCTTACTCGGAGCGACTGGAGACTTTGTTCTAGCTCCGAAGGCCGATTTCCTGTAACCGCCCACAGAATTCACCCCTCGCTCTGAGACTTTGCAGGCTGTTTTGGTAAATAGGCACTATTATAACCGCAGCCCCATCGCCCACGTTTCCTGTTGTTCTCTCTGCCTAAATGAACAGAGGCCTCGTCGGAGCTGCTGCCTGCTGGTATCTCTGAGGCCCTTTATCGACAGGACGGGTGCGGGACGGACGGGGCAGGTCCAAACTATACAAAACTTCCTGCCAACACACCTCAACTTTCCACTGCCAGGGCTTTGCCTAGACGTCACAGGGAAGTCCAGGGACCATTCAGTCCTTGAGCCGTCCATGGGGAGGCCAGCCCTAGTGGTGACGCAGAGGTGAATGTCTGTTCAGTTGCAACCTTGGACCAAATTTCTTCCATGCAGGCCAGCGTAGAAACCTTTCAGCCAGATTGGTGCTCACGCCCTTGAGGTGTGAGGGTAGGTATCTGATTGCCCATCCTCTCCAAGCCAGCTATTCCCTCAGCCTTGGGCTGGGTTGGTACAAGTGTCCTAGAAGCAAAAGGAATCAGATCCTATCCCCTGACCTCACTGGTCCCTCTGGATGGGAATCAGTACCATGTACATCTGAAATGCCCCCATTCTATTCCCCAACTTTCCTGAGCCAGCCGGTCCCCCCTGACTTGGGACTGGATTGCAACTACCTGCCTAGCTATGAAAAGCCTCATATCCCATCCCAGATCTGGGGCCAAATTGAAAACAGCACCCCCTAGAAACGAAAGGCCCTATATCCCATTCCCTGTCCACTGAGCCATCCCTTGTACATGGGTTTTGCACAAAGATGTATACTATGAACGTCCCCTTACTTACTAGCCTTTATTGTTAGTCTGGTCCCACTACCAAAAGTGACTTTGTTATTTCCTCCATAATTCACACTCGGGGAAACGGCATTGCGAAAACCATTCCACGCCCTACCCCAAACCGTTAAAGGGCTGGAATCCACCTGGGGCACAGTTAAACTAGAGCTGGGAAAGTCGCAACATTATATGGTCTTGGGTCATTGGTCATTTTGAAAAGTCAACCCCCAGATGGTTTGTTTGGGGTCAGACCGGAAATTAAAAACGCTGGTGAGGCGAAAAGTGTAAAAAAAAAAAAAAAAAAAAAAAAAAAATTCCCTTGGACAAACCTGAAATGTTTTTTGTTTTTTTTTGCCAAGTATGGGGGGGGGGCGCCATGTCCGGCGGCACTTTAAAGACGAACCCATTGATTTGGGCAAAAGCTTTCGTGGGTAAGAACCCCCCTTCTCCAGATGCATGGCGTGAAAATGACAGATGCAGGCATCAAGATAATATATTTATATATAGCACTGTCTCTCCCCTCGTGAGGTGACTCCCTTCTCTTCATGTGTCAGTGTATCGATGCCTGGATCTGTCATTTTCACGCCATGCATCTGGAGAAGGGGGTTTTTACCCACGAAAGCTTCTGCACAAATCAATGGGTTTGTCTTTAAAGTGCCACCAGACTCCTCGTTCTTTCAATTTTCACCACTTTTTAAAATGTTTTTGAATTTATTTAAATAAAATAAAATTAAACATTGAAGCAAAGTTCTTTCAGACTGAAAAGTCAATAATTCGGTTCAAAGATGTTGAAATGAAACACTGTGGGGGGTGGAGGGGGCCTTCAGGTTTTGGTGGTTTTTCCTTTTTCCAAAGAAGCATTTGGCGCAATTGACAAACTCATGAAATGCTAAGCGGTGTGGCTGACTCTGCAATTTCTACCGAAAAAAGTTTCAGAAGAAAAATGTCTCCCCGCGCTGAGTACATTAACCATTGACACAGAAAGTAATTTAGGGTTCCCCCTTGTTTCTTGTATTTCTTCCCCTGCACCAATTTTCTGTGTTTTCACATCGGAAGGCTGCATTTGTGACCTCGTCGTGTGGCGTGATGGAAGCGATTCTGATGACACAACATCAGCCTTGTAACCGAACTTTTATGTTCCTATCTGGCGCTCTGCACCGTAGTAGCTGAGCCGCTCAGACAAGTTACACTCCCATGCCACTCAGAGTATTCCCACTCCAGGGGGAACTGAGGCTCAGATATTGCATGGCTGGATTTTCAAAGGAGCACAAAGGGAGTTAAGCATAATTAACCCCATTGACATTTACTAGGATTTGGGTGCCTAAATCTCTTTTAAAAGTCCCAGAGAAAGTGACTTGCCCACAGTGAGCCTGTGGCAGAGTTAAGAACTGACTGCAAGTCTTTGGGGTGCTATTCCCCATCAGACTCAGTGTCCATATAGCCCAGCCCTGTTGATAGTGCCCAGGGCCAGCTGCTTACCAGGAAGATACAAGGGTCTCTGCAGTGGGCTGTCATGGCTGGATCATTATACGTATTGATATCGGGTGTTAAGTTCCTTTATGCTTTTCAAAATACCTTTAAAAATCTGGCCCTTATGAGACAATTTTCCCACAGCAGAAGTTTCTTCCTAAGGAATTTGTTAAACTCATTGGGGGGGAAAAAACAAAACAAATTCCTTGGAGGTAACTTTACATACATGCACAGGCTGAGTGTTTCAGGGAGTTCAATGCCCAACTTCCATAGAGTTTGGATCTGGGTGCCTAACTCCCTTAGGCTACATGAACACAAAGGATTCCTAGGGCGGACGCAGCTAAATCTGCAAAGGTGTGCTTTGAACCGGTGTCATCAGCCCACCCCTCTGAGAGGGACAAGCTCTGTCAGTAAAAACGCAGCTTTGCTGGTCTAACTGCATCTAAACTAGGGACTTCAGCCAGCACAGGGATCAGAGCTCTTCACGCCCCTAACCAACAGAGCTATGCCAGCCCAAGATACCTGACCTCTGGCTCCTTCTGAAATCCCCAGCCATAAATTAAAGGCGGGAAGGGATCACAAACTCCTCTAGTCTGATCTGTATAACACAGGCCAGAGAACCCCACACAGGGACACCTACATCAATCAAAACCACTTCATCCCCTTTGGGAAAAAAATATGTGAGTTGGTACAACTTCTTCCATCTTTTTTTAATTGCTTTTCAATTAAATGAAAATATTTGAGCAATAAAGTTCTGTTTTCATTGACAAACTTGGGCATGTTTGTTGAAGAGCCATAAACCTGAAAACCATTTTTGGGTTGTTTGTGGCAAAATCCAAACCTGTTTCTTTTTTTCAAGTAACCACATTGGGTTGCCCCAAACAAAACCAATTCTGGGGTGGTTCAGGTTTTCAGTGGAAACAAAATGTTTCTGAATAATATTTAGATGAAGTTTAGAAAATTGCTGAAACTTTTTCTTTAATCAGGGACGGGGGAGGAAAAACCCACTTCCTGACCAGCTCTAAAAAATATCATTTTCAAGCAGTGCCGAAAAGCTCCACTTAATGAAGTGCGGGGAGGGGAGGAGAAAAAAAGAAAAGGCACATAAAATAGAAGATTTTTAGGTTGATCTGGAAAAGTCAAAAGAATTTTTTGGCCTAGATTTGGCTGCTTCAGGAGCTGGATACCTCATTCACATTAAAATTCCTGGTTCGAATATAGATGATTTTACAAAGTTCTGCCATAATGACTATTTTAATTAGGAAACTCACTTGGAAGCACTAAGAGTTCTGTTCCAGCTCCAAAGATTACTGTCCTAGGTCCAGTATTCCCACCCCAGTCCGAACCATTACAAATACTCTCCTCCAAGAATGAGTCAGAGAAACCACTCGGAAACTCTCTGACTTCAGGATGAATGTGGTGGTTTCTCTCATTGGTCTCTCAATCCAAGTGCTTACATAGGTTCCAGCTTCATAGTATCTCGCCCCTCATAAAGTTGCATGGCTTTGATCCTCATAGACACCAGAGTGGTCGTAGACTTGAGTTCTATCTATTTCTCTCTATCATTGCACTCTGGTTCCACCCTACCCTTTTCATAGCCTGCCTCTCTGGGCCATACTCGCTGG